TATATACTAATTTTTAATGGAGGTCTATTTGATAAATAGGGAGGAGATAGAGTTTGAATTTTGTTTATTTTTTATATTAAAATTTTTACATCTATTGATCACCAAAAAAAATCCGCATATATGGGCATGGACTATAGAAAAGGGGATAACTACCAAAATCGTGATTTTGAGTTAATGCCACTTCTATGCGTAATTTGCTACAAGGATTAATTTTAGCTTAGAAACCATACCCACTTTACTTAATAAAATTTCGAGATATTTTCCATTTAATTTTTTAAAAACAATAGTAAATTACTTGAAATGCAGATCTTTTTTTTCGATTTTCTCAAAATCGTGATTTTGCAGCTATCCCCTTTTCTATAGTCCATGCCCCATATGTGAATTGCGAATTCACATAATTTCATTTTCACGTACAACAATACTAAATCCTTGCAAGCATATTTAGATAAAGAAAGGATTATTTATTTATTTTTAGAGAACTATTGTTTATTTCTAAAAAAAAAAAAAGAATTGAAGAAAATTATTATTTTGCATTTGATTATGTTTTTATTTATTGAATGTAATTAAGATCAATGACATAAAATTCATACTAATATCACTATGTAATATGTAAGTCAATAAAAATAATAAAAATAAAAATTATTATCATGTCAATATATAATATTAACACACTTATCACTTTGGAATAATTCTATTATTTATTTACTTGATCTAACTCTAAAGTCATCTATCTCTTAGGTGATAAATTAGTTAAAATTATATTATTTTGTTCCAGAGTACTGTTTCTTGTTTTATTTATTACTACATTATTTATAAAATCTATATTTTTAAGATTATTGTTGATTATTTTATTTAAGGGTATTAAAATATTGCATAATTTTATTATCTCTGTGGTTGTTTCTTGTCTATTTGTTGACATCACCAAGGGAGAATCAAATGACTTAATTAAACACATTCTGTAAAAAGGTAGCAATTTATAATCCATAAGATAAATATCCAGTTTAGTATTGTTGTATGTGAAATTGAAATTATGTTTAAAATTTCATTTAGTTTATATTCCAACTTCTTTGAATCATCAAAGCTTTTGATAAAATGCTCGTAATTACTTAAACTGACTTTTGAAAATTTCCCAAGATAGATTTTATCATTTTCTATATGTTCTAGATGACTTGCAGTATCTTTTATATAGGGACCATTACTAATTTCAATGTATAGAAATTCATAATTAAATGAATAAGCTACATTTTCTTTATAAAATACACCATCTGGATATTTAGTAGGACCATATTTTCCAGCATTTTGTTTTTTCGTTGCTTCTGAAAGATGCCCACAATGTTATAAAAGATAAAATCCACAATCTGATGGGAATAAGATCTTTCATTGATTGTTTCTGATTGTTCTTGATATGATTTCATTTTCCAAACAATTTGGAATTGTGTCAAAAAGTAATTAAAATGCAATAAAATATTCAATCTTCATCTATTCTATCTGGAATAGTAATTGATCCATATAAAATATAATTATGAACGAAAGCATTTTCTTGATTTGTTAAACACATTGAATCATGCCATTCAATATATGTAAAACTACCCAAATATTCATTCTTTATAATTATTTGATATAACTTTTGATTATATAATCCTATATGATTTATCTCAAGAATGCCATCTGATATCAAATCATTTGGGGTTAACTTAATTTTATCTATTACATTGATAATGAGACATGATGTTTTTGACATGTTAAAAGTTCCACTTATCTAATATAAAAAACGTTAATATAGTTAATATTTTATTAATAAATAGGATTCCATAAAATTCCTATATAGGTAAGCAAGAAAAAAAATTTTTTAACCTTTCTTTTCATCAGATTCAACAAATGACAAATCAACAATTTCTTCAGTATATGTCGGGTCTTCACTATTATTATTGTCATCTTCCTCTTTTCCATCACTGTCAAAGTTGTATATGTATAACTATTTGACATAATATATGAAGCCAGTATGTAAATTTATCAAAAACAAAACAATTCTATCTATTTGAAAATATAATTTGCTTACACTTTCTTGTAGTGGTATCCTTTGTTTTGGGTACCTCACATTACTAAGGAGCAATCAAGGTTAATGAAACTGTCAAACATATAAATAAACTAGAGTAATGACAAGTGGTGGGCAATAACCACCACCATCCTTAAAACACTTTCAAATTCTTCATGATTTTGTTTACTTCTTTTTCTCATTGTTTTAGAAGTAGACATTTTTGAGAAAAGAAGTTTGTTATTTGATCAACGTGTACACATTAATTATTTATCCTATTGGTTTTTTTTTGGGAGGACTGACACAAATTGGTTGATTTTTTTTTTTTTTTTTGGAAAAACATTAAAACTAATTTATTTTTTGACAGTTCAAGGTGACAAAACATGAGTGTTGTTGTTTGGTTTGGGTCTCCTAAAGAAACGTGTTAATAACTAACCAGAGGTACTTTTTTTTATTTGTATTGATTGATATTTTTATTTTAGCTAATAAATATTTTAATTGGAAATCAAAACAAATCAAAACACAGAGCAGATCTTGCTTATACTTGCCGCCCATTCTCAAATCCTTAAATCTCATCCCATCCCATCCCATCCAACCCCAACCCAATCCCATATTCCAACCCATGTCCCATATTCCATATCCCATTGATAGAATTAACAAAATATATGTATATTTATTAATAAAAAATTTTATCATTTATAAAAATTATTAAAACCATAAAAACAATTAAAAAGAGAAATAATTCTGTAATTACAACAGAAAACAATCATTAATCAAAATTATGATTATCTAACAATTCATCAATGTCAAAATTTGTATCTCCATGATCAATATCATTTTCTTCATAAATTTCATTTGATAAAATATTATTATTAGACAATAAACTTGAATTCAAATCAATGCTTTCAGTAATAATTAAATGGCTATCATTAACACCATCCAAATTTATAACCTCTTCATCACAATTATCATCAAGATGACTAACATCTTCAAGGTTATCATCTTGTCCAAAAAGATCATTTCCATTGGTAATTGATAAAGCAATTCGGTTAAAAGTTTCATCAAGTTCTTCAACTGAAATTTCTTCAATTCGAATTATTATTTAATTGTATGACAAAAATATGATTGGTTAATTCGAGATGGGATATGGGATATGGGGTGTGGGGTGTGGGGTGGGATATGGGATATGGGATATGGGATGGGGATTGGGTTGGGGATTTTACTAACCTCAAAGCCCCACCTACCATACCCAATGGGATTGGGGATTGTCCCATATCCCTTAGTATGGGCGGCAAGTATAATCTTGCTGGGTAATTACAAGATTTTCATTGATAATATTTTGCTTTGCATAATCATAATAATAATACTATTATATTATTATATTATTATAATTACAAGATGTCAAGGCAGCACACTGTTGAAAAAGAAACAATTCAAATATGCAAAGTTTGGTTACAAGAAAATAGCAGGTGTTGAAGCACGCATGCTACCTTGAACACTTACAGTCATTCTCACATGTTCCTCATGTACACAAGGCTAATCTGACCACAGTACTCAATAATTTCTTTCTAATTTGGCTTTAGACAGATGTTCTTTAAATCTTTTAAGTAAATCTTTAGCTTCTTCCTCTTGGCAAGCATTATAATGTAAACCATCTCTAAAATGTTGACAAGTATCACATAGATCAGTCCTGGGACTCATAATTTGAATCTCTGGTGCCAATTGATGTCATAATTTTCTGAATGCATCATACTTCAATGATTTCAAATTACTATCTTCTTCTAGACCAGCCAGAAAATCTCTGTGGACTGATTTATAACTCATTTCAGCTGGTAAGAATACAATTGTTTGGGTTATTCTATTGATACTTCTTCCTGGACTTGGTAATCCATGGACTTCTGCATAATTTTCTAGAAAATTCTTTACTACTTCTGCAACATTTTTATCAATCACCATTTTAGTTTTTCATTGAGGTATCTTCTTTATATTGCCATGAACTCTTGCTAGAAGACCATTGTTTATTAGATGGTTTCTGATATTTTCAAAGTAAGTTCTACCAATTCCTAGCATATTGAGATAAGTTTCTTGACAAAGAAGTGTATTGTGATCCCAGTGATAGAAAGTTTTTTTGTTAGATCTGGTTTTCTTCTTAAGGCGTCTACTAGTGCTTATTGAGCCACCATCCATTGCTTTAAGTTGGGCCATTAAAAACATATCTTGTTCAGACTTGGAAAGAGCCTGAAAAGATTCTCTTAATTCTGCAAATTGTTCCTTGGGAATTCTTGAAGAGCAACCACATTTACAACCTTTTTCTAAAAAGTCAATTGCCTTTTCATATTCATTAGATCCATTATGGTTACTATTTACATTATTACTTTTCATATACCTATAACCACACAAGGCTAATCTGACCACAGTACTCAATAATTTCTTTCTAATTTGGCTTTAGACAGATGTTCTTTAAATCTTTTAAGTAAATCTTTAGCTTCATCCTCTTGGCATTGTAATGTAAACCATCTCTAAAATGCTGACAAGTATCACACAAGTCAGTCCTTGGTCTCATAATTTGAATTTCTGGTGTCAATTGATGTCATAATTTTCTGAATGCATCATATTTTAAGGATTTCAAATTATTATCTTCTTCTAGACCTGCCAGAAAATCTCTATGTACTGATTCATAACTCATTTCAGCTGGCAAGAATACAATTGATTGAGTTATTCTATTGACACTTCTTCCTGGACTTGGTAATCCATGAACTTCTGCATAATTTTCTAGAAAGTTCTTTACTACTTCTGCAACATTTTTATTAATCACCATTTTAGTTTTCCATTGAGACATCCTTTTAATATTACCATGAACTCTTGGTAGAGGGTCATTGTTTATTAGATGATTTCTGATATTTTCAAAATAAGTTTTACCAATGCCCAACATATTAAGATAAGTTTCTTGACAAAGAAGTGTATTGTGATATAAAATTCTTTTATTAGATCTGGTTTTCTTTTTAAGGTGTCTACTAGTACTTGTTGATCCATCATCCATTGCCTTAAGTTGGGCCATTAAAAATATATCTTGTTCAGACTTGGAAAGTGCTTGAAAAGATTCCCTTGATTATGCAAATTCTTCCTTGGGAATTCTTAAAGAACAACCACATTTACAACCTTTTTCTAAAAAATCAATGGCATTTTGATGTTCATTAGAACCATCATGATTATTACTTTTCATACACTTATCCCTATATATATAATTTTATAATTTTATGTTCACTTTGTGGGTTTTTACAATTAATATATCACAAGTCATTATTGGATTATAGACAAAAAATTTTTTAGTTTGCAGCATGAATCATATGAAGAAAATGAGACTTATGCATGTCTAATGGCAAAATTTGTCCATCATGTAAAAAACATTTTGGAATAGTACAAAGCCTAGGAATTTAATGATGGAAGATAAAACTACAATTGCAATAGAACAAAGTGTGCAAAATTTTTATTATTTTCTTTTGTTGGACCACTTGACATTATGCATGCATTTTCAATTTGATCAGAATGTTGTCTTCTCTGGAAGAATCTATATCTTTTTAAATTCTTTATTTACAAATACAAACATTCATTAAACAATATTTATTTATTTTGTGAATCTATAGTAGTAATTTTATCTTTTTAATAAAAAATCATTTAAATTTAACCAATGACGCAGCATGTTTTGGAAACTTTGTGCGTCTACATAAATCATCTTCTTCAACAAAATGATCTCTTTTACATTTTTCAACAATATCATTTGCTAAAATTTCACCAACTCCATTTATTAATCTTAATTCCCAAAATTTAGCTGTATTAACATTAATTTTTCCCTGTGCTATTATCAGTATAAATTAAATAAATTATTAACCATGCATTTGAAAGAAAAGTCAAAAAGAATCTTTTTTGTTAACCAACCTGCTGCAAATTGAGCTCGTGTAGCATAAGTAAAACCATAAAAGTCACAAAAATTATTCTTACATATTAAAGCAGCATTTTTAACATCTTTAGACATAGTCTCAAGATCAATTTCTTCACTCAGTGGACATATTGATAATAAAATAAAAATAAAATCATCATCTTGAAGGCTAAGCTTATCAATAAGTGTCTTTTTTGTAGATTCATATTCTTTGGTAATCATATTAGCTGTAATCTTCTGGGGTGTGCAGTTTCTAATTTTCTCCATTTAGTCTGTAAACAAGCCATAATTGCATCTTTGTTATTGGTAGTTTTAAGTTGATATAACTAAACCTATCAAATGGTGCTGATTCTCCATTTTTATAAACTGTAAGTTTTTTTTCTTTTATGAAAAGCTTCTCATTGGAATATATATCTGTGACTGTCCAAGAACCATTCCCTGGAAATCTTTCTTTTATGAAATGAACTTCAACATCTTTCCAATCTGGAATCTTTATGGTGATGTTTTTAATCATATCACCACAATATGCATTTTTTAAAAAATCACATGCTTTAATTTCTTTATAACCATAAACAGAGAGTAAGCAAAACTTTAATGCCAAAAATCTAACATTAAAATCTTCCCAGTTTTGCCATAGAAATAATTCATCAGATTCAATCATTGGTTTCCATAATTGGTATAATTTATTTGACTTGTTTGATACTCTAGTCATGCACCAAAGCATGATATATTGCAAACGCAAATATACATGTCCAGGATAACTATGAGCCTCCTCTAAAACTACAATTCCATATTGCTTTAGCTCCTTTATTCTTTCATCAAGAATCATCATTTCATCCAGCAGACAACCAGCAATAATATCAGAATTATCATGAGTGAATTCCTCAAGTTCATAATGTTCATTTAATAATACACAAACATCAGTCATAACTTGTAAAAAATCAACAGCATTAACTACATATTCAGAGCATTGTTGATAAAAGAATTCTAATGCTCAACAATGTCCACCAATATCACCAAGGCATCGATGAAAATGACTGTTTGTTTCAACTGGAAATTGCAATCCTTGTCCAATTTCTAACATGTGGTCCATCCTTAATAGTGGAAGAGAAATAGGTAAAGGTGGGTGTGTGGATTTTGTGACAATATTCTGCAAAGGCTTGTAAATAGTTCCAGCAAGTAGGGGAACATAAAATATTGAACTCAATGCACAACTACAAGAACCAACAGCATTTACCATAGTCTTAAAAGTTGAATCATCTAATCCATATAATTTGTTGACTTCATCTATACAGTTAATAATCATTATCTTTTCTCTCTTAATGTCCAATGCAATGGCATTGAGTACATTTTCAAGACCAAAGTCACCAACATTGAGAAAGGTATTTTTTATGATATCAACAAAACCAGAAAATTCTAAATTAGGATATCCTTCCACAAAATATCGATAGAGAACCCTTAATGACAAACTTGTTTCACCACCAATATTACTATCTGTTGCAGAAGCAGCACAACCATTCCCATATGTAATATCAATCAACACAGCATTATCTACCAATTCTTTAATTCAACATTATCTTCTTTTTCTACACATTTTTTCAACATATTCAAACTTTCTTCTAATACCCGAGTTTTCCCAGTACCAGGCCCTGCTGCAATGAATGGAATCGGATGAAAATTACAATCCTTAATTTTATTCCAGTGTGCATAATAGCGTTTTTTAACACCATTTTTATTTAAAGTTCCATTCCAAAGCTGCTCTGCTGTTTCTTCTCTTCCAAGAAACTTGAAATGTTTTCCATATGTGGCTATAAGCTGTAACAATAGAAACACAAAACATGGTAAATAAAAAATTAGGATATCAATAGCAATGTTTCATTAATTTACCTTTGGAGGAACTTCATTAGTTGGTCTTCTATATTTTTGAATCCAAGACAAAATAAATTCAGGAGTAATGATATATTTTTGAGAGGCTTTTGTGAAGGAGAGATTATTAAGTCAGATAAATCGATATAAAAGGAATATATAGAGACAAGCAAATTAACACCATATCTGATATATAAAGTATTTGCCTTCACCAACTAAATAATGAAAAGAATTAAATGATGATTAATAAGTGATTCAACAAAGAATTGAAATTGAGTTATTGAAGGAAAAAAAATAAATCAAAGTTACAAAAATAAATAAACAATATTATTATTATTTTTTTTTTTTTTATGCAATTTGTTCGTTACCTTTCCCTCCACCAAATTCTACCAACGCATCCTGCAATTTCTCCACCTGCTTCTTCCTATCGTCTAAATTTTTCTTCAACCTCTTCTCTTCTTCCTCCAGTCTTCTCTTCTCCTCCTTGTCCTCTTCACTAAGATTGTTTCTCTCTCTCCTCAACTTTTTCAACAACAAGCCGTCGTACTTCCCTTCCATGAATTCCTTCAACTCCTCCATTGCCTTTCCATGCTCCTCCTCTGACATTTTTGATTTCTCTCTAATTCTTCGATCGTCGCCATTTTCTTGAGATTAAAAATAAATTTTTAAAAAGAATGTTTTTTAGATCGTAATTGTTACAATTCTATAAATAATTTGGACCAATGATAAATTAGTAGGCACATGACTTTGAATTTATTTACGACAAAAACAGAATTTATAATTAATTTCCATATTACTTTTTAGTTTATTGGTCCGTTTTCTGACATGTTCTTCAACAAGATAGATTTAACGCCTAAAGATTATGCAAGTTTCACGACTGTTTTGGAATTCCAAAAAATCGAAAATAAGTTGGATGCCCTAATAGGCAACTATAATTGATCTTTTAAAAAATAAGCTGAAAGGCTTATTCAACAATTATTAGATCATTTGGTGTCTATTTTAACATCGAATGGAGAGTCAATTACCTTAGATTTAATCAAAATTTTTGTGAATTAGAATATGATGACTTTGATAATGTCGGATTGTGTCCCTGCGATGGTAGAATAATTATAATATAGTCCGAATCAATGGTTTAATTCAATAATTAATTAATCAAACAAGGATAACTTTACCAATTAACAATGGTTTTATTATAATCATTTATTGAGAGAAGTTAGTATTCAAAAGAAAAGTTATAGTTTAAATACTTAAATGCATGATCATTTCCAATACTATATCAAACTACTACTATTTTATATTTTCATTTTGGAGAATTGAAGGATAGTAATAGCAAAAAGTTCTGTGACTAAGCAAGTGACTTGAACCATATAGAAATTTTTAATTGAAGTTCTTACTATTACCGAACAAGGTCCATTATATAAATTCGTAATATTAATAAAAAAAAAACGGGGACAATATCAGTATTAGTATGACAAAAATCCGTTATAATAAAGCCGTTGTAACGAGGTTCGGCTGTAGCAAAAAATTTTAAATATGCAATACACTAAAATTCATACCCAAGAGTATTTTTTTATTTAGAGTAGAAGAATTTTGTACATTATTTATTTCTTTAGATGATGTATTAATAGAACCTCCATCATCATTATAAAATTCATTTTCAATTGTAGTTTCTGTATCAGTATCATTGAACCAACTTAACCACTCCTCACCACTTGAGAAGTTAATTCAAAAAAATTTACAATTCAACAACAAATGATTATGACAAGTTTTTTTATTTTGTATGACAAAGTCCAAATAAAGTCTAGTCGAGTCCAATAAGTCCAATAAAACGATTGGACTGGCGATTTTGACAACACTGTTTTCAGAAATTTCAGTCGCGTTATTTATTGAAGATGATGATGGTTTCATTTAAAATTAAAAATATATATTTTTTTTTTTTTGAGGGTTTAAAATTGGGAAGAGCCTGAATCTGGTTGAAATAAGCAGGCATTTATAAGAAAAAATTTTTGACTGATGATAATAATAGTTCTTTCTGTATTTTTCAACAATATTAATCCAGGGACGGTTTGATTAACCAAAAAAGTAGTTTAAATAGTTTTATTTCATGGGATCGAAACCCCAACGAAAAAGTTTAAATATTAAGCTATTTATTTTAATGAATATTCCGTCTATTATATAACCTCTAAACTTGGCTACTTTCTTTGAAAAAATTTGCAATGACCATTTTTTATTAAAAGAATGGTGGTGGTTGTGATCATTGCAACTTGTCACTCTAATTAATTAATTAAAAATAGTGGCTAGCTTAACCTTTATTTTTATTTAATTTAAATAGGAAAAGTATCCATTCACCTTCCGCATCATCATCATCCCGTCATGTTTACATTTATATTTTTTTTATGAAAATTTGTTACGAAACGTATCCGGACTGATCGAATAAATACATCCGGTCTCCGCATTAAAACTTTGGATTCCGATTTAAATACGAATATCGAATACAGTTCCAACTTCTATCCCTGATGTTCTTAGTATTACAAATGTTCGCTTTATCTGGTTTTGTTGCAGTATGCCCCATATTATTATAACATTTAATTGGGATATTTGAGAATTGAAAGATCTCATTGATCAAATCGATCTTCTTCCGCTTCTTCGAATGTTATAATTGGTAGTGCCAAGTATAAAAATCTTTTGCCTTTAGCATTCATAATTTATATGGATGGATTGATTTAATTTGTCTAATTAATAAGGAGCTTTAACTCTAGGTTAATTGGAGAATAATATTTATTCACTATTTTTTCGCAATTATAAAAATTTATAAGGCTATTTTCATTCATAATTTTTTAATACTTCAATATTTTTCCCCAAAAGTACAATCAATGCCGTGATTATTCTTTTGCTTTATATTCAGTTTTCAGACTTTATTGGTTTGGTTTTGTTTTTTGGCTTTTACCCATTTAGTTGGGACTGCATGTCGACTTTTTAATTAATTCGGGGGGGGGGGGGTTTTTTTGCCTTGAATTCATTTGGGATCCAGGCTGTATGTACTCTGTTGCTTAATTCTTTGTTTTTCATCGATCAACCGATAATAATAGTTTATCCGCAAGCTATAGATAGGTTACTGCCGCAGCTGGTCAAACCTAAAAAATTTACTTATTATTATTGAAAATGCAGTGTTTGTGAATAATCACCAAATTCGGGACATATGCTATCAAATCCGGAGGCATTGTTTCTAATCAACCAATCACAGCGTGTGTCAAACTGTGATTTTCAGATGTAATAGTAACCTATCTACATTAATATGATACCAATAAACAAGTAGATCTTCGTTATTATTTCTTTTCCAAGACTGATTCCATAATTATTTGGATAAATATCTTAAAATAGTATATTCAATTCCCTGCATACATCAAAACAAATTTATGTAATGCAATAGGCAATGATGCATACTGTACTTTATTAATAATGGTTGTTTTGGAAAATGTAGATTTACCATACGTTTCTTCAAAAATATACAAATACTTTTAAGAAAGTTGTTGATATTCCTTCTAGTTACTAAAATTGTTACTTACTTACGCTACCATTTTGTTCATAATTGCAATTCACCTCTTGCATAATTTTGTTTAAATATGACCTCGTAAAATGCTGCTTTGTTATTACCTTCGGCTGGTGGATTACCATGGAGCAATAAATCACTTTTAAAACAAATTTACTGATCTCTTTCTTCTTTGTCTTGACAGAGATTAGGATTGTTGAACGTAGAGAAATAAATTTTTATACCATGTACTATACCATCAATGACATTTTCATGAAAATTGTTCACGATCTTGTAAACTTTTCTGAACTATCTGTCAAAGACTCATGTTCAAAAAGTTTTCTAAATACCAATTTCTCGAACAAGGGTGGTCAAAAATTTTCTAGTATACTAGAAAAGTATAATTGGCAAAGGTTCCTCCAACTAAATAATAAAAGAAAGAGTTCTGATTAATTTATGTAAAATAGTAAGTTATATAGGTCATATATTTCTACTTATCTTTTTTATTAAGCTATTGATAAAACTTTCTTCTACTTTGGTTCTATTACTATATAAAAAATCAGGATGTTGAAAAAAAAATTGCGTGTAACGCATTGATCCACAAATTTCTGTCAACCAACAATAAGCACCATTCTTTCTATTCTAAATTTGGTGAAAAATGATATAAATTATGTCATATATATCATAACTTTAAATTACATAAATAATAAATAATAAATCTAACCTCATAATACTAAAAGTTGTTCATCCACCTAGTTTTTTATTTTTGGCATTTTTTAATTCTTTCCTTTTACAAGTATGGAGGATATTTTAAATAATGTGGTAGTTTCTAATACTAATAATAGTACTACTATTGCAACATCAGATACACCATCACCAACTACATCACAACAGCCAACTGCATCAGATCTTCTTGTTATTAATAATAGTAATTCTCCTCCTTCATCTGGTGGTGGTGGAAGTGGTAAAAAGGCCAGTAGTAATAGTAGTAGCAGCAGTAGTAACAATAATGCTCGTAATCTTACAAACGATGAAAGACGACAACGTAGACTTTATCGTAATCGTATTGCAGCTAAAGAATGTAGACGTAAAAAAAAAGCTTATGTTGCTGATCTTGAGGAAAAGGCTACACATCTTGAAGAAGAAAATGTTAAACTACGTAAAGAACTTGAAGAATTAAAAGCTAAAGCTAATTTAAGCGCCATGAAAATTGATGAAAATGTTCGATTGGCTAAAGAAGTTGAAGAATTAAAAGCTAAATTAGCACTTTTATCTAACAATAGCACATCAATAAAATCTGAAACTAATAAATCTAAATCTAAATCATAAATATATACATATTGATTAGATATTAAAACAAAAACGAACATTCAGATTTTTTTTTCTTGCCTTATTTGTAAATAAGTTTTTGGCGAATATAATAATTAGACATTAAAAATTTTTTTCATGGTCAGTCAAAGATAATTTTTTATTATATAACAAGAGAAATTTATTGTCATTATGATTATTATGATTATTATCTATCATCTTAGGATTTCAATTTTAATATTTTTTCTTCTCTTAATTATTTAATATTTTAATTAATAATAATTAATAATAACTAATGATAATAATTAATAGGATCAAGAAGTAATTTAGAATTTATTTATATATACATACATACCCTTTTAACTTTCCTTCAATTGATTTTTTTTTAAATTTAAACTATTATTTTATTCAATTAATTAATTTTTGCGTCTATTTTTTGTTGTAAACATTATATAAATTTCCCTTTTTTTTTTTTAATTAAAAAAATAAAATATATAAATGCTTTTTTTATTATTATCCTAATAATAAGAAAAAGGATAATTAGTTTCATCTGATACTTGTAGCTTTTATAGTATAGATTACATTTAAAACAATGAAGGTGATGGTGTAAAAAACCTTATATATATGTATTTTTTATATATATGTATATTTGTAAATAGAAAATAATGATAGCAATAACAAAAAAAAAATTTTTTAAAAATAACAACTTTTTCTTTTTACCATAAAAATTTTATTTTTCGTACATTTTAATGATGGCGATTATTCATTATGTTTCCCTCCCCGTGATTGTAGAATCTTTGATCCTGATTATTTTACAATTAGTTTTGTTTTTGTTTTGTAACAATTATTTTCATTATATCTAAAAGAAATATCTTTATTTCGTTATCAATCCAAGGAAATGTGATACTAATACTAATATTATTATATTTGCGAAAAAATATTAGACTATCTTTGATTTTTATTACCACACAACCACATGATATTTAATTAATAACATTTTGACATTTCCTCTAATTCAAATTGACCGTTCTTTTTTGTAATCTTTGATTTTAATCGTCTATTTATTATTATTATAAAGTAACAAAAACAAAGGAAGGCCCCATTCATTAATGATCGTTAAATAAAAAATTTTATTATTTATATAAAGTTTAAATATTAAACATACTGAATTTCCAGAGCCTTATTTCGAGTATGATACGAAGGCCTCATCAACGTTTTACGATGTGACGTTTGATATCACTTCCAAGTTAATCATGGGTGCCAAATTCAAACTAATAACTAAAAATTATGCATGTTGATGACTTTAGTATATATATTAATAATAAAAAAAAGATTTTATCATTCATTACATATTTCTAACCGGGATGTTTTTGTTTACCATTCTGACAGAAACAACAAAATTATCACACGAAAGCCAAATCCTGAACCAGGGTTCAGATCCCAGAACTCGATTGTATTAACTCATTACATACTCTACTATTTTCTCATAAGGACTATTTATCATCATTCTTCTCCAATATATATTCATTAGAAACTAATTGTATTCTCTCAAAGTATTTTCTTGGCTATTGAAAAATCTAAAGAATAATATCAGTGAAGGAATAACCTCGGGGAACTAGGCCAATTTTTATAACAATTGCACTATGAACATTATTATTATGTAGTCAATAATTTGCGCTTTTTCCACTGCATATATTGTAACGCTGCGAAATGTGCAATCTCAAATTAAATAAAAAAAATGTAATATTACATTTCTAACACCTCCATTTGGAAAAGCTACTGTTTGCTTCCTTTAATTATATGAATTATATGATAAGCCTGAATCTCTGACATCAATATCAAGTTACGATGACAAGAATTCAATTGATTACGAGTGAAATATTCGTATAAGTCTTCCGTAAGATTGATATAATTATGAGCCTTCTCACGAGCATGAATTTCTAAATAAAGTGGAGGTGCACTCAAACTATAATCTTAGTCGCTGCGATAATTCTCCATCAGACTAAAAATTGCAAAGTGTAAGCTTTATATGATCACAATGGTAAATCAAAGCTTTTGCTTTCGATCCACTCTCAGCAACACTAAAGCTTGGTGATTGACTTACACTCTCTTGTGCTATTTTGCCCGAGTTTCAACGTCCGAGATATTGTGTTCTCTAAAATTTTAGGTCACATAAATATGATAATCTTGATAATCGCTTAATTTCTAGCAAATGAAAGAAAGACATATTATGTTATTTTGTATTTCCCAATTTACATTAGTATAGGAATGAAGGTTTTGTATTGATAATTTGTAAGATATCTAAAATACCAATTTCTCTTCGGCTCCAATTAATAATTAATATTTATAAAAAGCATGACGAACGATGGTAATGAGTTTTTATGATTTCTAAACCTTTCCATTGGTTCTTTTTTCTCTTTGTCTCTCAATAATAACAAAAGAATGTGCGTGGTGGAAGAGAGAGGGAGGATGACAAGTTAGAAACTTTAATGTTTTCTATATAGATCATTTCATGGTCCTTTTTCTCCTCTCTCCCTCCCTATTTCTACAAATGAATGAGAGCGGATTGATAGTTGTTGTAGTAGTGTGACAGAGAAAAGCGCCTTGAATCCACTATAGGCCTTTCAAAACAGTATTCTCATGAGAATAATGAAAAAGATTTATCTTTGCTGGCTGACATGTTAAAAAAATTGATACATATAATTATATGTACAATGGTTTCTATTTTAGATATTTTTAAATTTACATTTGATATATTCATGTAATATTCTCAAACATTACCAAAAAAATTAAAGTCAATTATTTCCTCTTATCAGAAGAAATTAGTGATAAAAAATATCAAAGGATACAATACATTATTTTGGTTTGTTGGAAAAAAAATAATAATAAATCATTTTATTGTGCAACAAATAATAAATTTTTTTTTTAGAAAAAAAAAAAAAAGAAAATCAACAATGACTTTACCACTTGAGCTTTTAACTGAAGTATTTAAATACAATGATTATGATTACAAAACATTATATTCTTGCATTCTTGTCAATAGACAATGGCATAGCATTAACATTCCAATTTTATGGGAAAATCCATTTTATTCTAAAGGCAGCACCAAAATAATAATTAATTGTTTATTGGAAGAAGATAAGGATTTCTTAACAAGAAATGGCATTGAATTGACTTTTGAGCTATTGGATAAATCACCATTATATAATTATGCTAGATTTTGCACTAGATTTTATTTCAAACGTTACAGTTTACAATTGCTGACAAATGCCTCCAAATTAGATGTTTTACAAGATAGATTAATAAATTTTATTTTAGATCATTTAGAAATTATTAGAGAGTTTAGTACTTATGATATAGGTTCCTATCTGGTAAATAATTATCATGGATTTGGTAGTAGTTTTCAGAATCTTAATAAATTAGTTTATAATAATTCCAAGTATAATCCTGTTAGTAATGAATTTATTGATAAATTAGCAAATATTTGCAAGTGTATTCAATCATTAGAAATATATGGTACATATGAAAATAAACTTGATGATAGTCTAACTCAACTAATTAAAGCACAAAATCAAATAAAACAATTAGCCATTTATTTAAACATGAATCATGCTTTGTCAGATAATTTCAAAAAAGCAATTCTCACACATTCACAATCAATAATTCATTATTCAAGTAATAGATTCAACAATATAGATCATATATTATTACCAACACTTAAAAACTTGAAGTTTTTACAATTAATATCAAGGGATGCTTCTTATTGTAGTGACAAATTAAAATGGTTGAAAAATATTTCACAGCCAAATATTGAATCTATGACAATACATATTCATAGGCAACAATTTCTATCAGACTTGTCTGATTTTATTAACACTAATGGAAAAACTCTTAGATATGGTCATGGAAATGATAATAAATTTTTGGGAAAGTTATTTCAATCAATTGCACAACAGTGTAAAAATCTAGTAAACTTATCAATAATTTATAATGATAAAGTAAACCAGGAATTAACAGGAATATTCAATAATTGTATTAAATTAGAAAGCATTAGTTTTTTCAAAACTGATTCTAATGATATAGATGGTGATAAAATACTTTCAATGCTAAAGCAAACATTACCAAAAAAATTAACATTAATAATAATTCCTTGTAAGTTTTCTACTATTAATGTCGATTTTCTTGATAATCTAATGAAGAATTGGAAAGGATCTAAATCTTTTACAGTAAGGTTCAATTATAATCAAAGATCAGTGAATGTAAGAATTACTTTTCATAACAATAAAACAATATTGTAATGTTTCTTTTTCAAGCAGGTACTTTAATTATTGTAAAAATACAAGTTATCTTTATTAACTTAAAATAATGTCCTTTATATAATAAAATTACATACAGTGTGTAACGAAAAAAATTGCCTTCACGAAAACTGAAATAAATTTGAAATAAATAAGGAAATACGTTGTAAATCTCAAAACACATCTTGATTTTCAATTAATTAT